GTGGGTGCTGTCTATTTTCGAGGAGAGGATATGAGTGAGATTCACTAGGATCAGAGTATTCGTTTATTGTTGTCGGATAGAACGGCTAGCCTCGTATTTCTCTATTGGGAACAGATGTGCATGAGGGCGTCACCAGGCTTGGTTCACGGACGCATTCACCTCCCCTCTGCGTTGGCAAGTAGATGAAACAAATTTACGTAAATGGTAAACTATAGGCTGAAAGACGCCTAATCACATGGGTTGATAGGAGGCTCTCTGCACGTCTCGAGGGCCTGACTGGTTGATGGTTCTGTACGGACCTGTTATGCAGTTGGCTGAAGCTCTGTTTGAAGGTGCGGCACTAATGTGTCTGCCCAGGTGAGGCTGAATCGATATCCAGAGTTACGAAGGAGCGGGAAAGTTGGAAATGTACCAAGGGCGGTCGTCAATCCTGGGTAAACGTGCAGCTTGCGTCACTTGCATTTCTTGCTGTTCATCTCCCGTACCGCGTGACTTTGGCAGACCATATGCACTCTTCTCGTGTGTTTCTGGAGGCCTGTGCTTGGCTCACGATGACTCGACTTGCAGACGGATGGCCTTTGGTTGTGGTGTTCTTGCGGCGTGAAAATGGTATGAAAGCTCTGGGCTGGTCCTGCTTTTGCATCTGGCTGATCAACGGTTTACCATGCCTTGAACGACTGCCTTGAATTCATCAACTCGAAATGGTCTCACAATTTCAAAAAGAATGTTATCCGCTGCCGGAAACTTAATCGTTGGCAACGATAGAGTTGATGGGTTCATGGCCGGTTGTGACAACTCCCCGTTACTTCGTTCTGGTATCCCCTCAATATTGCTGCTGCGTTTCAATGCATAAAATGAAAAGTGCTTTAGACTTGCGGCAACTACAGATGCCAGCGTACACATAGGTATCCGGCCTTTGATGTGGTTACAAAGAACGAGTTTCACTGACAAGTTCATAACCAGCTATAGAAGTTAGAACCTTGAACGTTGAGAGTTGAAGTCGAGCTCCGCACCGAGGAGCATAAGCGTGGGTTCACAGCCAATGAAACCGGTTTCCACGGCAGGTCTGCAGTCCGGTCTGGGCACCCCGGCAGACGACAGACGTCACGGCAAAGCACGACAAAGCTAACACATGTACGTCATTCTCGTGGGCCGGAGCTACATGTGCGTCAAAGGTGTTTGGTGTACGGACCACTTGACTTGTATCAGATGCTTTCAAGCAAGCCCTGCACATGCTCTGAACGGTCAAGGACAACAAAACCATGCGAGGAGGGATCTTGTCGTACTGCCTACAATGCCTTAAACAAGGAATGTTCCGTGGTCCTCGCTACCGATGCTCTTGCGAACAGGGAACTAGTAGCTGTATTACCAGACAAAGTTCTTCCAGAAGAACAACACATGACCGGGCATGGAAGCGGAGAAGGGCAAATGGGGCTGCATCGTTGAGCCTCTCCCCTCTTCTGGAATCACTGGGCTCGAGTGCAATGTTTCTTTTGTCTCTGATGCTAGCAGAGGCGGAGTAAGCACAAAGTGCGGCTGATGAAGTGGCGGCCAAGGGGGTCTGTGGGGATGACGTTGGGCGTCGTCACGGCAGTCGACTCTCGATTTTACCCAATCCATCACCTGTTTTACCTGTCCATGTTAGTCTGATTGATTCCAAAGAGGCCTGGCCAACTGGTGTGGCGTTGCTCATAGGGGTCCCACCAATGATGCTGAGGATGAGGAAATTCGCAAGCTGGCCTTGGCGGATTGATTGCTCAGCCTTCGGAGGGAATGCGAGCGGTCACTTTTCTCCCGTGGACCGGCGGCCCAAAAATATATATATATCTCTTCATTCAAACGTCGTCCTGCACCGTGATTATTTTGTGATTTTTGTTTGCGTGGGATCTGGACATGGTGCGTCGCGTGTTCTGTCTCTGTTTTTCTCGGGGAAATGGAGAGCAAGTTGTGGTGCTTGCCCACGGACGGGCTGAAGGGTCCCACTGGCATCGGCCATGGCTCGATGTGATTTGCTGGCTTGGGCAGCCCAAAAAAGGTCGAAAGGGTGTCCCCACTCCATGCATAGCCCCCGAGATGAGGCGGGCGCATGCGGGCTAACTTTAATTGTGCGAGGCAAACCTTCTCCGTTCACAAGCTCTGGGCCAAGGATTCACCAGTGCCAAGACTCACCCCGGCCAGCTGGGCCAGCTAGCCCAGCTAGTCGGTCGCCGTGGCTCAGCCCAACATTTGAACCGCCCAGACAGCCGATCGCCTTGACGTACAAAAGCGCCCTCGCCCCGGACGCAGGTCTTGCTCATCGATTCGTTTCGCAATTCCGGGCCAGAAATCAAACGTTTCATCTCCATCGTCATTCCCCGCGACTGCTCGGCACGCCACCTCTGTCGCGTGCGAACCGACGGAGCTCACATAAGCACATTCGCATCTCGCATTCCGTATTCCGTCTGGTACATCCCGCCGAACCCCATTGGTTGCACTTGGGGCCTGGGCAACACGTCATCCATCGCTGCGCCGACACACGATCAGTCCATCCATCATCATCAGGCGTTTGCCTCAAAAGTCGCCTTCACATTTCTTCTTCAGTCCCCTCTTCCACGCCTTCCATCACTCTCGACACATACCAAAAAAAAATTAAAAAACTCCACCATGGCCCCTACGTCTACCTCGGACGCCTCAACGGGAGCTTCCGTCATGGGCCTCATCAAGAGATACTACTACTGCGACAGCTACGGCTACACGTACAGATGCAACAGCGGATGGTACAACTGGGGCCGCTGGGTTGTTCTCGCGGGCGTCATTGTCATCGTCCTGCTCATCATGATGACGTGCGCGTAAGTTTTCCAACCCTGCCTTCCAACCCTGCGTCTTCTCGCAGAACACAGACAACTAACCAAAAACCTTGGCCGGTATAGCTGCACCGCCCGTCGCCGACGTCGTCGCGGTGTCCAGCCCATGTACGGAACGGGCTGGATGGCCCCCGCCAGCAAGTACGACCCCAACCATCAGCACCAGATGAACAACTACAACCAGGGGTACCAGCCCGACTATAACCAGGGCTACGGCCAGCCTCAGGGGTACTACAACACGCCTCCTCCGTACGGCGGCCAGCCGCAGGCTCCCCAGAATACGGGCACCACGTTCAGCCCTAATGATGGCTACTACGGACACCAGCAGTACGGTGTTCAGCAGCCGTCGAATACGTACCACCCCGATGGCGGGTATGCCCCTCCTGCTGGACCTCCTCCTGGGAAGTAAGGGGTGTCTTGGGGCTTGTTTGTTTGTCAAGGGTCGAAGATGGTATGCAAAATTCTTTTTGTGAGGGTTGTCGGATTTCGGTGGCAGGGGGGTTAATGATGAGGAGGAGTGGCGTTGAGAGCACATGTTGGCCATTTTGGGATGTAGCTGAACTGACGATGCCTGAAGAATAATGAAGGTTTGGTTTTTATGAATGTTTGAATGCTAGGTATGTATGTGTTGTGCTGGATCAGCCAGGAAACTATAAATGTAGCGATGTTTACCTAATCTGTGGACTTCAGTCTAGCGGAATTTTTTATTCATTAAGAAGCAGCGAACGCGATTATACTGTCTGGTAGTATACTATAGTATAGGCCGTGATAGCTAGGCACTTAATCTGGGTAGAATACTTTTTGCCTCAACTGTAGAATGGACATGCAAGTCTCATTCGACGAGCACGCTTTTTTCGCCACCGCGTGCCTATACCAGCTCATTACCTAGTACAGTGTCACGCTAATTCAGACGCCGATTCCCAGTCCGACTTATCCAAGGCCATATTTGGCGACGAAATTCGGCTTGGGTCGCCAATCTTGCACACTGGACGCTTTGTATCTGTCGGAGTCGGCGCTGCTTTCGTTGTGTCCGACACCTGCACCTTATCGAAGCTGGTATTTCCTGCGCTTGGAGACCTGATGGACGCGTGGCTCGAGTTGATTAGATTCGGTATGTCAAGCGACAGCAACGTTGCCGTGGCCGCTAACACAGCTGCATGTTTCGATTCGGATTCAGGAGTGTGACGAGAAGAAGACAACACCATACTACATGGCAGACTGAAGCTTATGCAAACGGCGGAGCGGCATACCGCGAAACAAACTAGATATCCTACTAGGCGCCTACGGATGTGGTGTCTGGCAGACATGTACCAAAGCGACTAGGATGTATTGCGAGATAACAAGCAGCCTCGAGGGAATAAGAAATAAAATTCAACGAACAATTCCCGCTATATGCCTACGCTGTGAACAGCGACGACCGACCTGGCAGTTTGATTGTACGCTATTAGTTCCGCGTAACTGTAACGATCATTCCGTACATTTACAAGTTGGATGAAAAGATGACGCTCATGTTTTCCACATGCTCTCAATAGCAGCACATCCAACTCTCGTCACTTGGTTCGCGTAACGCAGCCTGGCCCATGATTCGCAGATGACGATCCGTGTCTCACAAACGGCGCCACATCATAGAGAGCACAGTGAGGTACTCCGCATTGTTACATTTGATACCGCAACGATTCTTCAAAGAATCGCGTGTTGAGTACTCCGTAAAAGGCATCAGACCAGTCCTCGTTACGGTCAAGGTTGCCTGTGGCTATTCTTCGTCGGGTGTCAGGCCGTTGGATGTGGCTGGCTGGCTCAGTTTCTGACCGAGACCAACCCGGCAAATGAGGTCCAGACAACTCAGACTGGCATCGACTCCGATTGGCCGTCTAGAAGAAGAGGCTGGGCGGCCCGCGTTGTCCCCAAGTGGACTGGTGCAAGCCGCTTCTCAACCCAACACTGCGAAAGGGATAATAAATAAGGCTCCAGCCCCTGGACAATGCGCTTCGTCGCTGTACCGTAGGAATGTGGCCGTCACAATCTGCACAACGCTGTCTCTTGCGTTTTGTCTCATCAGTACTCCGTACGTTCCTCTTTTTTGTTCACTCTCAGGCGTTGGCATCAAGCGAAAAATATTTGGCACAACCCGCGCGTCACTGCTGACGAGGAGGAAGAATGGGAGCCATCCTCCTCGAAGGGCATCTTGTTGTCGAGGATATCGAGCAATGGTGCTTGCGGAAGGGCCGCCGAGGCGGCATCGACGCGGTATTGGCAGTCGTATTCTTCAACACGGACCCTGCTGCCGAGGAATATGTCCGAATCAAAGCGCACGTTGCTGAAAAGGTACTTCGGTGTTTCCGCAACCGCCAAATCGCTTCACTGACTCACTGACCGAGTGCCCACGTTTTCCAGGCGGGTGTCGGGTATTGGGTTTGCGAAATATCTCCCGAGGCCTCCTCGGTCGAAGTCCAGAAGCAGATTCAACAACTGAACGAGAACGAGCAGGTCCACGGTATACTCGTTCAGCGCCCGTTACCGGAACATCTCAACGAGCCCAAGATCATGGCGTCCATCAGCCCGGACAAGCACGTCGAGGAATATTGCGAGGGGCAGCCCAGCAACATTGCGGCCGACGCCCTCGGTCGCCTCCTCTCCGAGCATGGGAGGAGCCGTGTGTTGTGTCAGTCCGTCGTGCATGTCGTGGGGTTTGGCAATATCATCACCGATAGTTTTACGTCACACATGAGGCGCCACTACCCCCGGGTCAGCGTTTCTCCAAGTCTTCCCAAAGTCACCTCGGAGCAGGTTGACCGACCGGCCGTGCTCATCACGGAACTTCATCGCGGGCCTGGCTTCATCAAGCCATGTATGATTCGTCCCGAGGTGAGGGTTATTATCGACCTTGGCTTTTATTCCACGGAAGAGGGCATCGTGGTTGGGGACGTTGACCACGCAGTGTTTGAGAAGAATGGGCTTGCCGTCGCTCCGACACCCGGTGGTGTGCTGCCTGTCCTGCCGTGGTTGATGATGGAGAGGACTATTCGAGCAAAACGGCTCTTGACCCGGAAGGAGTCGCGATTCTGCTGCACATGTCAGTAGCTGGTGTTTGGGGAGCCCAAAACGACACGTGGAATAGCAGTGTCGGGAACAAGTATTTAATCGGATCAAGTACTACCCGGCTATCAGCTCTTATACTATAACATATTAGTGTACATGTGTATACTTCCTGATAGGCGAAGACACCCTAGCATGGCCTGTATTCCCATGTGCTTGCGCAAGAACGGAGCTGGCCACATGTTGCAAACCAATCTCGACATCCTAAATGTTGGACATGTATCATGCGCAGCATACGCCGTATCAAAATGCATCGCACTGGTGCCTCTCCATTCTTCCTCCTACATCACACCTCCTTGGCTTGCTCTATCTTACCATCTTATTCCATGCCCACAAGCTCTTTTGCGGCTGTCATGCAAATCCTGCTTAACCTGCCGTGGTCCCTCACCTGTAACGGCCTGCAGCTACAAGGAGTGCATAAAACATCAATGTCATCTTTCGAACCTCCATGAGGCCTCGGGCTTCAATTGGGAAGGGCCTAGTATGAGCCACGGCCACCTACACGCCTCCTTCCCACGGCTGTTTATACAGCTCTGCCGTGAGTGCATCACTTACATGTCAAAACGGTATATAAACATTTCTGTTTTTGTAACAATAATCGTTCCCATGGTGTTTGCGCGTCCCACGCATGCAATATTCCCCATGATTGAATACCATAAATCGCCAATAATCATTCGCACGCAAGGCCAAATAACAACAATGTTGGCATATACATTCTACCGCAAACATCACCAGTCCTAATAGCCTCCAATTAGCCAAGTATATACAGGCAACAGACCAACTGCCCGACACAACTTGGGCTCTGCGCCTGAGTCACACACCAACTTGGGGCTGCAGAGGTTCAAGACACCGAGCGCGTGTCTTCTCTTGACGTATAACTTTGTATTTAGCCAGTCTGCGGCTGTGCTCCCCGCTCGCTCCCTCTCTCATGCAAGACTTGCACGATATTGTATGGCCGAGACGGCCAGTCATCCTACCGGCATCAGGCGCAGCTTCAGCCTTGGGGTGACACAGCGGCATAAGCATCCATACGTCCATATAGAATGCAGAAGCAGTCGCCCAAGTCGATATACCCAGAGGACAATCGAGAAAAGCGACGGCGCATCTATCAACACCGCAATCAGGCTCAGACTATCCGTAGGCTACATATATACAAATACCAAGGTACGACATTAGCTCTTGGATTTTGTAGAATCGACGGTCCAAGGCTGCCGCGGCTGCGCGGAAACCAAATACAAGATGGCCGAAATGTGCCAATGGCCGCGGTTGGTGACTCGCTTTTGAGCTCATTGACTTCAACTCTTCGTCTCGGGTGTAAAGGACCTGTGCTGACCCAGGATTTTGCGGCTGAATAAAAGAGGAAAACTCGACGGGCGACTTGATGTATCAGACCTCAGCAGAGGAACAGCAACCATTCATCGGCAACGCAACACACACTGAATATGACGACGCTCTACAGAATCTAGGTCCGAAAGACTCAGCCCATGGCTGTGATTGTGCACTTGGTATCTCTACGGTGGGCTCTGTTCCGCAAAGGACGACTGGAGTATAATACCAGCATCCGCCTTCTTGCAAGTGCGAAGAAGAGCGGTCCGAATAAATGGTATACAAACGCAGTGTTACTCGTCTGTCTGCTTTTATCCTACGCGACTTCTTGCCTCGTTTTCTGTAGATATTAATCATCAGGCCTGAAGGTACTCAAAGATGTCGGCCCCTGCTGGAAGCCGGGGTTCTATTGGGACCAACGGCGTGGCGATTGCGCTCTACGGCCCGGCATACCCCCTATCGTACTCAATCATGTTTGGCGTGCTGTTTGTTTTATTCATCCAAGCCTGTCAAACAATGGCACTACACTGCGTCGAGTTGTTGGCCAACGTATGACCAAGACGAGCCGGCATCGGGGAAACAAGTCGCGGAGCCAAGAGGTCAAATAACCCATTTCAAGCAGCTGTGTTGAGTTGCGAGAGCCTGGCTCTTGTGGCTTCAAAGACCGTCTTGGATTGGATTCTTGCGCAGGCCATGCACCCCTTCATCACCCCAGAGTACTTAAGTAGGGTGTAAAATATTGCGGTTTTGGGTACCCATGGGTCTCCCTGTGACATATATAGGCACCTAAATTTATATACATATAGATGTACTGCTACATAAATTTTTACCCATGGGTACCCATTTTTACACCTTACCCCAGAGCCTCCCTCTGACGAACGGCGCCATGATGTTGGTCTCGTCATGACTTACTCCCGGCTGTTCGTATACACGGCAAGGCAGTGAAGGTGCTCCTGGCCTTGAGACGACCGAAGGGATATCGGCCCGCTGCTCTGGGCCATTTGCAGACACTGGTGCACTGGTCGACCTTGTGGATGACTGGCGGACGGATGGGGAGACAAGACGGGTTTCATGACGCGCGGCGCGAGCGAGTTCAGGCACGCTGGAACGAATTGGCACTTCATCACCCCAGAGTACTTAATTAGGGTGTAAAATATTGCGGTTTTGGGTACCCATGGGTCTCCCTGTGACATATATAGGCACCTAAATTTATATACATATAGATGTACTGCTACATAAATTTTTACCCATGGGTACCCATTTTTACACCTTACCCCAGAGCCTCCCTCTGACGAACGGCGCCATGATGTTGGTCTCGTCATGACTTACTCCCGGCTGTTCGTATACACGGCAAGGCAGTGAAGGTGCTCCTGGCCTTGAGACGACCGAAGGGATATCGGCCCGCTGCTCTGGGCCATTTGCAGACACTGGTGCACTGGTCGACCTTGTGGATGACTGGCGGACGGATGGGGAGACAAGACGGGTTTCATGACGCGCGGCGCGAGCGAGTTCAGGCACGCTGGAACGAATTGGCATAAGGAGTCCCTTTCCGGATGATCCCGAGGCAAGGTATGCCGGTTGAGATGAAAGACAATTGCGTGCATGACTTTGGCACATCCGAATGCGAGGGTTTTGACGGCAGATTTCAGTTGATCGCGGTACGTTGGCGACATTGCGATTACGGGTATTTTTTTCGGGTTAATTAATTTGCGGGGTACAGACCGTCCGGCGTCTACCACTTATTTTGGGTTAATTTAAACTTGTTCAGTTTAGCCTATTATCAATACGCGTAACTACTATCCAGTATCGCCAGCAGTACGCCTTCGGCTCGCCTTTGAAAAGGCTTCGAAAACACTGGGCTGAGTCTACTCAATCTAGTTTGCTTGATTTCTGTAACTGCTCTTGGACTCACTAGGACACGTTTGATTGGGCCACTCTTTTCGGCGACACTCTTGTATGGGTTCGTGTTTGAACCGTTTTGGGGAAGTTGGGCAAGTTTAGCCGCGAGCAATTATCTCTTTTTGTCGTTGCGAGGCAAAGAGGTCACTAGAGCAGCCCGGGGCTGACTTCTGGAAACCGTCAAGCATCTCTCGTTATCCTTGTCCGTGCTAGTACCTTGTATCCCTTTGAATGTGCGGAGGCACGTTGGATGGATGTACTGGACCCACTTGTCTGCGATACCTAACGGGTAGTTACCTTTTTAGCACCAACGTCACCAGCTTAAAAGCGCTATGAAAAGCAGCATGACCTACGGCTGTGATAATTGTGAAGTGGCTCTTTATAACTTAAGAAATAACCAGGACTTTTATTATCATACTATTTCTTAATGGAGCGATGTACCTTTTAATACTAGGTTTTTGATTGGCCAGAACTTGAATTCGGTACCTCCAACGTGCCTTAGCACATTCAAAGGGATTCAACGGTGTGGCTCAACGTCGACAAGTCAAGTATGCGGATATGTGTACTACCAAGGACGGAGTAGTACTACCTGCAGATGTCTTAAGGAGAGTTGACAGCGGATAGCGAATTGATGACAAACTGAAGGGGGCCAGTGCCAAATATAACAACGACTAATTTTCTACTGTCCGTGCCTGTTTGTCAAGTTTGGGGGAGCATGGGATTCAACCGACACACTGACACAAAACACGGGTAGAAACGCAGACACGACTACCCGGGTACCCAGGTACGCCGTTGTTGATTTGCTCCATTCTGGCGACACCACACCAGTGGAGGCTCCGGAGATGAAGATGGCGCAGATAAGAAATGACTCTCTGAGGCCTGACGTCGACAACTAGGCCACCCGGTTCACATTATCCGTCTCGGCCCGTCCAGCTCGTTGTTGCAGATAAAAATGCGAACGGGGTCAACGTCGCGACTTGAAGCGTTGTCACGTCTCGCCAAAACGCAAGCATGGTCAAGTGGCAAAACGGCCCCCCCCCCAACAAACGGCAAAAGAGCAAAGGCTTTTGTGGTGGCCCTAGAAAGGAGGCACTACCACGAGAAGCTCGCAGGGGGGGGTCGAACGGGGTTGGAACCGGTTGTTGACTGGCCCCAGTTTTCCAGGGGCACACTGGGCATTCCTGGTCAGCTGCTGGGGCCCATTGCCCAAGAGAGAAGCGCTCTTTCCCATCGTGACAATCCCAGGTGCCATCTTACCGCGGCTCCGGCTCCGGTGCCAGAAGGCAGGTACCCTCGGTGCGTACCTGTCGTATCGCGGTGACTTGCAGGGCCCTGGCATGTCGACCTGGCCGAAGTTGAACTGCCCAGCTGCTCCAACTGGTCCCTCCGCCGCCGCACATCAATTGATCCAGGTCCCGCACCGCCAGAGGAAATTCAATCACCATGGCCAATTTGTCCATCCTCTCAGCCCTTCTCTCGCATCTTTTCCCTCCTGTCGACGATCCTCATCTGCCGTAGACGGCACATGCTCGCGCACAGCGACGGTCCCTTTCCACCACGCAGCGACGGGCACTTCTTTTGTTCCCCTTTCGCACCGCTGCTCGTCACTCCTTTTTGTCTTGCTCGAAAAACTTGTCCTTCTTCCGCGACAAGTGCGCTCCTTTATACCTCATCTTCAACCTCGTCTTTGCCCTGAGCACCCTCATCTGCTATCCCGCGGACCAACGGCTGCGCCTGAGATCCTAACCGTTTGAGTCGGC